ATAAATGATTCATTTAAAAAATTATAAAAAATTTTTTATAAATTTTATTTAAAAATATTTTTATAAATTATTTGTATAAATAAAATAAATAAATAATTTGTATAAATTATTAAATATATGTACTCAAAATATGTCAAAATATATATTCAAAAAATATAAAATTGAGTATATAAATATATACTCAATTTTGTTCTATCTCAAGAATTAAGAAAATCAGATGATTATATATATATAGGAAAAAGTTGTTAAAAAAATTTATTTCTAGAACAAATTTAAAAATTATTAAAGTAAAAAATGTAATTTTTAAATAATTATCACTTGTTTAAATATTTTTATTAAAAATTTTTGATTTGCTGATTTAATTTTAAACATGAAAATAATACAAACCTCTGCTTCTAATAATGCATCTTGAAGTTGTCTAAATACTGTATAAGCTGGAGCAATGAAATTGCTTAAAGGTATAAAACTATCAACTTTCATACGTCCTGGAATATTTTTTTTAATTCCACAATAATAGAGATTACGATTCCCAATTATTTTTCCTTTTATCGTAGTTAAAGAACCTTCACCATATTTTGGAAATTGATTATATAAAAATAATGATATAATAAATTTTAAATATGAATCTCCTAAAGTTTCTAAACGTTCTAAATTAAATGCATCATTTCCTAATTTAGTAGTTAACGCCTATAGAAATTTATATTTTTATAAAATATAATAATATAATTGATTATATTAAATGATTAAATTTAGAAAAAACAATTAAAAATGTACTTACATACATAATTTGAACAGGATCTGGACCACATGAATTTTTTAACATCAAGATTTGTAAAGGAGGTACTGGTATTGATGATTTATTTAAGAAATTAGTTTTATTTCTTTTCTGTAAAATTATAATTTTTATAAATATTATGAACAAATATAATGTACAAATATCATTAATATCATAAATATTGTAAATTTTTAAAAATATAGATTTAAAAAAATATACAAAAATATAGATATATAAAAAAGATAAAATATTACCATTATGTTGTTATTTGAATTAAATGTTTCACTCATAAATTGATAATAATGTTCAATTTGAATTAATTGAAGATCTTCAAGGTTTCTGAACAAATTTGGTGGTTCTTGATATTTTGACCATGGATATTGATAGATTTCTGTATTTAATACTGTACAAAAATAAATTTAAAATAAATTTTCAACAATAATAAATTGTAAATCAAAAAAGTAAAACAATAAATATATAAAAATAAATCTATAAAAATATATAACCATCTATTTCTGGTCCATTTAAAACTGGTTCTGATTCCAAAACATCAATATCTTCTGTAACATTTTCGGACATTTCAAATGATTCTTCTTTTTCTTCTTCATCAGTTATTATTAATGGAACGCATTTATTATTTGATAATAATCCTAAATTAGTTTCTTTAGCAATAGTATATCTTAAATCTTCTGCAACTAGAAGCTGTGAAATTCTGTGCAAAATAGATGGTAAAATTGTTGCTTTGAGCCAATATAAAGCTGGAAAATTAATTTTAGTACATAACTCTGGGACTAAATGTTCTTTCATATTTTTAGGCAAATCTACATATCTTCGGTTCTTTGATTCACTCTGCATATGTCTGTATATAAAAATACAATTTAATTATGAATGAAATATATCTAAAAATTTGTATATTACCTAGGCAATATATAATTTATTTTTCTTGATATTGCTTTTACTTCTAACATTGGTTGTCTTAAATTGTTTATTGTTAAACCATGTTTCTCTTTATAATAATGAGCATATGATAAAAAATTATCAGTTGGAAAACATGAATTTGGTGTTATATCATCACAAACATGGGTAACAATATATGTTTCTGCAGCTCTATAATTAGGTTTAACTAATGTTAGTTCATAATCAGTGGATTTAAAATCAAATGGAACTACTGGTGATATATATTCAATACATTTATAATGTTTTATAACTTGCCAGTTTATGTTCCATTTTTCATCAACTAAAAAATTATATTTTAAAATAGCATTTATTAATTATACTTTTTCATTTATATTTAATTTTAAAATAGGAAAAAATATTTAAAAATTTTTAATATAAATCTTTTTTCTTATCAAGGATCTTATATAAAAAGAAAAAAAATAAACATTTTTATTACTTATATAAAATTTATATTTTAGAAATTTTACTTACTTGGTGTAATTAAAAAACAGTTATCAAAATTAGAATTATCAAATACCATAAATGATTTTATAACTGGTATAATTTCACTAAATATCAAAGTATGAAAAACTTTTATGAATCTAACTTCTTCTTCAGATAAAATCATTGTTACATGATTTACTTTAACATCGACATTTAATTCACCAACATTCATAAAAATTGGAAAAGATGGTATCTATAATAATAAAATAATAAAAGTATTATAGAAAATAGTCATTATAATAATTATAAAAGAGATCTAAAATTATACCTGTGGCATTTGTTTTGCAGAAAGTATACCAAAACCTGCACTATTACATAATAAATTATAAAATACTAAATATCGATTATCATCATGTAATATAGGATATTTAGGTGTAGCATGAAGAATATGAAGATAAACTGTATTTTGTGGAAGAGGAAATGCACTATATAGAGCTGATGGAAACTATAAATAACAATTTTAGATAGAAATATTTATTATATTTAGTTCAATGAAGTAATTAATTTTTATATTTTACTTGTAAATGATGATGTCGTTTTTTATGATATGTTCCAAATAAAATAGTTTTTTCTGAATCATTTTCATCAACCCAATTTGGAAATAAATAATTTAGATTTTCTAGAAGTAATAAATTTTCTGTAATTGGTTGTAATTTATCAGTTAATTCGCCAATTTTATGTAATTCTATACACATTTTCATAGCAGCAGATCTTTTTGCGCTATTAATAGAAGGCATAAAATCACCAAAAATGACAACTTTTAATGGAGATGCAATTGGTAATTTAAGAGAAACCTAAAACATATTTAATAAAATTATAATTCTTATATAAATAAAAAAATTAATAACCAGAAGAATAATTTAAAATTTATTATAATTTATTTATTATTTATTATTAAATTATAATTTATATATTTATTACCCTATATTGTATGCAATTATTATTTAAAATTTTATATAAAATCCAAATAGGTGATAAACATGCAAATTTTGATTTCATTAAGGACATGCAATATTTATTTATTAAATGAATTGCTGTTTGCTCAGTTATACAACATTTTTGTCCTTCATTACTAATAACAACATATGGCTGTATTTTGTGTTGATATAATTCATTTTGTATTTTATTTTCAGTTGGAACATTACGTTCACTAGTTTTATTTAGCAAAAGCTAATTAAAAAATAAAAAATTAGTAAATTAATTAGTAAATTAAAATAGTTAGTAAATAACAATAATTAATTTATAAATTTTTAATGTTTAATAAAAATAATTATGATACCTTTTGTAAGTATTGTTCTATCTTTTTAAATTCATTATATCGGTTTATAAACCGTAGATTTCCTTTATCTAATAATAATATATATTGACTATGTACATGACGTGCTCTTCCTTTACTTTGAATATATGTTCTTACATCCATTGGCAAATCATATCTAATGATTAATGAACATTTTGGTATATTTACACCTTCATCTAAAATATCTGTTGCAACAATACAATTTGACAAACCATTTTTGAATCTGAAACAAATTTTAACAAATAGTACATTTTAATAATTTTTAAATAATAATACATATATTTATACTTAAGATTTGCATTATATTAAAAAAAAAATTTTTTATAAAATATACCTATGTAAAGCTTCCTTATTCCATTTTGATATACATAATGTTTCTTTACAATTTCTATAAGGATCATTTGAAAAACCAATAAGAAATTCTGGATGTAAAAATCTATATTCTTCATTATTCATAGATATATTCTGAAATAATATAAATAATAAAATAATGAGAAAAGATTAAATTAATAATTATATATATATATAAATAAAAGAATTATTATTTACCTTTAATATTTGATATAATAATTTTGCAGTAAATCGTCGTTTTACAAAAATAATACAACAAAATTGTTGGTCTTTACTTTTATTATTATAATGATCTTTTAATATTTTAAAAAGTGTTCGCACTTGATCAGATGAATAACTAAAATTACAAATTATAATATTGTTTTAAAAAATTAATTTATGTATTAATTATATAATTGTTAGTACATTATTCATTAACATTAATAATTTATAACATTAATAATATAAAAAAATAAATGAAATTAACTTACTTGTAAATTTTTTCTATTTCTGTTTTATTTTGCATTTTATTTTCTAATAATTTTCTACATTTAGTAATTTCTGTTATAATATATTCCATAACAATTATAGTTTCCTAAATATAATATATTATATTACATAATATTAGTAAAAAATTAAAAAATTGTCCTGTTCAATAACTACATACCACATCTTCTATATTCTTTTTTAAACATTCTAATTGAATTAAATGAAGTAATAAACATTTACTTGCACCATAAATTCCTATATTAAAAATGAATATATTTCTATAAATTATTTTATATAAAATAGAATACATAATTAGAACTATTGTCATTTGTTTTTTAATTATTAATAATTTATTATATTATAATATATCAATATTTTTAATAACTTTATATTAAATATTTAAA